ACTCAGGAGGCTGAGGTAGGAGAATTGCTTGAACCTGGGAGGCGGAGGTTGCAGTGAGCCGAGATCACACCACTGCACTCCAGCCTGGCAACAGAGCGAGACTCTGTCTCAAAAATAATAATTATAATAAATAATACAAAAAATTAACGGCATGGTAGTGCATGCCTATAATCCTAGCTACTTGGGAGGCTGAGGCAGGAGAATCACTTGAACCCAGAAGGTGAAGGTTGCAGTTTGCCGAGATCTCACCACTGCACCCCAGCCTGGGCAACAGGGCGAGATTCCATCTCAAAAAAAAAGGCCAGGTTCGGCGGCTCACGCCTGTAATCCCAGCACTTTGGGAGGCCAAGGCAGGCGGATTGCCTGATGTCAGGAGTTCGAGACCAGCCTAGCCAACATGGTGAAACCCCATCTCTACTAAAAATACAAAAACTAGCTGGGTGTGGTGGCGTGTACCTGTAATCCCAGCTGTTCGGGAGGCTGAGGCAGGAGAATTGCTTGAATCGAGGAGGCGGAGCTTGCAGTGAGCTGAGATTGTGCCATTGCACTCCAGCCTGGGCAACAGAACAAGACTCTGTCTCAAAAAAAGAAAAGGCTGGGTACGGTGGCTCACACCTGTAATCCCAGCACTTTGGAATGCCGAGGCAGGCAGATCACAAGGTCAGGAGATTGAGATCATCTGGCCAACATGGTGAAACCCCGTCTCTACTAAAAATACAAAAAAAAAAAAAAAAGCTGGGCACGGTGGCATGTACCTGTAGTCCCAGCTACTCGGGAGGCTGAGGCAGGAGAATTGCTTGAACCCGGGAGGCAGAGGTTGCAGTGAGCCAAGATTGCGCCACTGCACTCTAGCCTGGGTGACAGAGCAAGACTCTGTAACCAAAACAAAACAAAACAGAAAAAGAACTTTTGAACACAAGGAAACGATGGATACTGGGGTGTACTTGAGGTAGGGCAGGGTAGACAGAGGGAGAGAAGCAGGAAAGGTAACTATTGGGTACTGGGCTTAATACCTGGGTGATGAAACAATCTATATAACAAACCTCCATGACACATGTTTACCTATGTAGCAAACCTTCACATGTACCCCCGAACCTAAAATAAAAGTTAAAAAGAGAATGCCCTTACAATGCTGAGTTATGTGTATCTTTCTGAGAAGAAGGTCCAGAGCTTTCATGAGAATCTCAAAGGACTCCCAACCACCCCACCATGGGGATCCCTCCAAAACGTCCTGTCTCCATGTTCCAGGGACAGAGCTGGCCTGGGGGGAAGGAGTTTGCTGTAACCAATCCTCAGCAGGTACCTGTGCACTGACAACCACCTGCCTTTTCCAGACCACGTGACCAGAGAGAAGCTGGACCGCATTCTGGCCATGATCCAAGGCTCCCATCAGAAGGCCCTGGTGATGTGAGTGGGGCCCTCAGTGAGGTACTGGGAGAGCAGTAAGTGCCCTTGGCTCCCATAGGCTCCCCCAAACCTAGGGCAGATTCCATGGATCTTGTTTTTAGAGTCCAGATTCAGACGGGAGCTGCTTGTTTCTTTCTTGGCATTAAGAAATGGTTCTGTGTGCCAGGTCTTGGGTTAGCCAATGGGAGGCCAAGAAGAGCAAGAGAACCCAGCTGTCCTGCTGAGATAATATGATTTAATGGCAAGGAAACCATCATCGGAGCACAGAGCCCAAGGGCAAGAGCAGCCAAGGAGTTAAGAACTTGGGCTCTGGAGCCAGCTTGCCTGGGTTTCCTGACTCTGCCAGGCACCTGGTGATGAAGGAGGGCAGGAAAGGTGGCTGGAGGAGCCACGGTGGCAGGGCACACAAAGAAAATGAGGAACTTACAGAGAGGCACCTTTCATGCGGGGGAAAGGGTAGGTGGTCTACCCAGCTGCAGCCCCCTCCTGATCTGCAGGTACTCCAACCTCGACCTGAAGACCCAGGAAGCCTATGAGATGGCTGTTAGAGGCCTGATCCGGCCCATGAACAAGTCCCCGATGCTGATAACTGGCATTCGATGCCTCCACTTTGCACCTCCGGAATTCCTCTTAGGTAGGTTGGCCAAGGAAGTTGGAGCAGTGAGATGGGGCCCCTGGGTTTCGGAGTCACTCAGGAATGCTCTTGCAGAGGTCACTGTTGTCTGGCTCAGCTGAGGCCAGCATATGCCGGCCCTGATCTCTGCAGGCCAAGGCATCAGGCGCCAACTTCCTTCCCAGCCCTGGCCTGGACTTGGCTGATGACAGAGCTAACAGAACAAAAGCTCTCCTATCTCTTGCCAAGTCACCCTTGGAAGCCAAACCTTACCAAGCAAAGGTTATATTTAGTGGTTCATTTCCAGAGCTGCCCATGTTTGAAGCTGTGAGGGCTCCATCAGACACCACTCTTACCTCCCCAGTCCCACCCAGCTCAGGCCCTTCTTATCTGTGTTCCTTTTGTCTCTCCCTGCCCCTGCAGAGAGAGCATAACATGTTGGTCATGTTAATGCCTGCTCCTCTGCTTGAGCACTGAATTCTCTGTTATTAAGCACTTTCTATAAATGATCTTTTTTACTCCTCATAACTGCCATTTTACAGATAAGGAAACCGAGTCTTAGTAAAAGGCAGGTTGTAACCTGGGCAACATGGCGAGACCCTGTCTCTACAAAAAATAAGAAATTAGCCAGTTGTGATGGCTCAGAACTGTAGTCCTAGCTACTCTGGAGGCTGAGGCAGGAGGATCATGTGAGCCTAGGAGGTCGAGGCTGCGGTGATCTGTGATCACAGCACTGCACTCCAGCCTGGGTGATGGAATGAGACCCTGTTGCCAAAAAAAGGCAGATTCTGACTTATCAGGTCCCAGTGGGGCCTGAGGTTCTGCAAGTCTAACATTTCAGGTGGCACCCACAGGGCAGGTCCAGTGAATAGCACAACCTGGAATGCTAAGGGGTCTTGCTAAGGTTGTTACACACCTAGGAGGTATCCAAGGGGTGTGGGTGCACAACCACACGCTCTCTTATACACATCTAGACTAAGGTTGTTACACACCTAGGAGGTATCCAAGGGGTGTGGGTGCACAACCACACGCTAGAGGCTGTGCTCTCACCACGTCTTTGTCATTGTGTGTCCCTGGCAGAGGTGCAGTGCATGCATGAGACGCAGAAAGAGCTGCGAAAGTTGGTTCATGAAATCGGCCTGGAGCTAAAGACCACTGCTGTCTGCTCCCAAGTGCGGCGCACGCGCGACGGCTTCTTCACACTTGACAGCGCCCTCCTGAGGACCCAGTGGGACCTGCACAATATCCAGGATGCTATCCGGGCTGCTGCCCCCCAGGTAGCTGCAGAGCTGGAGAAGAGCTTGGGCCCGCAGCTGGACACCAAGGAGCTCCCCAGTCGGGAATGGTCCTGGGAATCCCAGGGCCCGAGCTCTACCTTGGGGCCGGAGAGGGGTGCAGGGCACTGAATGCCCAGGCAGCTGCTGGGGCAGTGAATGGATAAATAGAAGAGCTGCTATGAGCTCGACCTGATAGCTGTGCAGAAAGTGAGAGCAGGAGCACCTTTTCTATGTGTGACACGAAACTCAAGCTGTAACAGAAAGATCAATGGACTTGACCCAACTGAAAAGGAAAAACTTCTGTATGGAGGAAAAGACAGTAAACAAATGACAGACTGATAGAAAGTACTGGCAGGCCAGGCGTGGTGGCGGGCAGTTGTAATCCCAGCTACTCCCAAGGCAGAGGCAGGAGAATTGCTTGAGCCCAGGAGTTTTAAGGTTGTAGTGCGCTAGACGGTGCCTGTGAATAGCCACTGCACTCTAGTCTGGGGAACATATGAGATCCCCCCAAATCTCAAAAAAAAAAAAAAATTCCCAATAAACTATGTGCCCATTAAAATTAAAAATTTTTTAAAAATTGTGTTTGCAGTGTCATTAACCAAGGACTAATACCCACAACATACAGAGAGCCCTTAGAAAGCAAGAAAACAGCCCGGGCGCGGTGGCTCACGCCTGTAATCCCAGCACTTTGGGAGGCCGAGGTGGGCGGATCACGAGGTCAGGAGATCGAGACCATCCTAGCTAACAC